TTATTATTATTATTATTATTATTATTATTATTATTATTATTATTATTATTATTATTATTATTATTATTATTATTATTATTATTATTATTATTATTATTATTATTATTATTATTATTATTATTATTATTATTATTATTATTATTATTATTATTATTATTATTGTTATAACGAAATTTCGACATTAAGATCGATCTTTTTTCCTACTTCGAAAGACTTTTTTTTTCAATTCTAAAATAGTTTTATCACTTTCTCTTAGGTGAAATACAAAGTGAAATGTATGGAAATGTTACTTTTTTTGCATATTTGTAATGAATTAATAGTAGAAATCTTACAAATGACATTTTTCCCTTCTTTTACTAATATAAACCAAAATAAAGGATTATCAGCGAGTATTGTGATCATGATTGACAAAAAGATATGATATCTGTTGAGTTTTACTTTTCCTTCCCATCAAGCACTCCTCATTTGAGATCAACAAATGGCATATAGATTATTGGCAATGGATAGTGCCACCAATTATGATAAGCTCTTTTGTACATTTGTCATCGTGACATGTGATTATTTTAAAAAGTTTTTGGAACATACCAATAAGGATACTGTATGGATACTTCTTGTAGTTTATTTAAATATTCCCAAGTCTAACATTGTAAATTTTTTTTTCTCCAAACTTTTCAATTTTTACATTGCAAATAAAAAAGATGAAGGGAACTGGAATTAATCAAATCCCTTTAATGATTGGACAATTTCCGAAATGGGACAGTTACAGGATGCATATTACGAAATAATTACTTTTCAAAGCTCATTAATTATATCATGAAAGGGAAGAAAGGTAAGGTAACATAGGGAATCTTAACTTAACAATCGATAACCTCGATAACATTTTATACATTCATCCGGATTTAAATCAAGTTCAGATCATGATTGTGTCATTTCCCGAGTTTTAGGATGAAATTTAAATCAAAAACTTTCAGTGGCTATTTATTTTTTATAATTTAAAACTTAGATATGTTTAGAATTTACTGACAATGCAATTCCCAATCAAATACTCAAATTTATCCACCGTTTGTAACCATTTATTGTGGGAATGAGGTCAATGAGGCCATCCACTATGATTATCCTTGTGTACCTTACTTTTTCTCTGGGGTACATTTTCTTTCCCTTTTTTTTAAACATTAAAATACATTTCTTCAAATAAAAGATGATAGGTCAAGAATAAGATTTAGAAAACAAATCTGAAAAGACAGGACATTAAAATTTATGTGTCACCAGTTTAGTACATCGAATAGATGAATGAAGTGCAGTACCTTTTAAATTCGCGAAAATCGCTTCAGCTGTCACTACTAATATTGCCATCTTGCTTGAAAGACTCAAGTTATTTCATTGGCTTTATGAAATCAACAGTCAATAAACTACTCATCTTTTATTTGAAAATGATAAATTTTTTATCGAAGTATTATTACTTGCATAAGTCTAGAGTGTTGATTCTAATCTGTCCTATCAGTATTATCATATCATTAGAAATACTGTCTTTTGAACAACAAAAGAAAAAGTAAAATCAATGGTTACTGTAACTGAAATATTACACCTTACATCTTAAAAAGTCATTAATCTTCTGGCAACCCACATTTAAAGTTATAAATTTGCTCAGTATTTTTGGTTATAGATTTAAGAAATCAATTAAAAAGTGTACCATGATAATGATAATTATTATCATTATTATTATTATGATTAATTATTAATATTATTATTATTATTATTATTATTATTATTATTGTTATTATTATT